AATCAGGGGCCTGATGCCTTCAACTAAAAACACTCTCAATTCTTGACAACTAACTCTAGGACAACTGAAAATGTCAGTTAAGCTGAGAATTAAAGTAAAGGAATAATTCTTTTTTAAATAGAGCATCTTCAGCTTCATCTTTTCTCAGTCTTCTTAACTATAAAAATGATACACCACACAAAAGCCAAATAAAGGTTTAGACTCTTATCCCATTTTTCATTTTTTATTGTATTTGATTATCTTACATCTGCCCAAATTACAAACCTTCCAAAAAAATTCAAGTAATACAAGGAAGAGAGTTAAACAAATCTGATGGTTCTCCTATAACCTTATAATGTGGTCATCCTGGAAACTATACTACCTGCTTAGTTTCCTATGGCAGCTGTAACAAATTACCACAAATCTGAAGGTTCAAAATACTGAAAATTCATTCTCTCAGTTCTGGAGGCTAGAAGTCCCAAATCAGTTTTCAGGGCCAAAATCAACGTGTGGTTGGGACTGCTCGCTTTTTTCAAGCGCGCGCGCTCTCTCCCCCCACTCCCTATCCCTCTCCCGTTGGGGAGAACCACTACCTGACTCTCATACCTTCTGATCACCCATTTCTACCTCTGTAGCCACACAAGGATACATGTATGTGCACTTAGGACCCAAGCTGACACCCAGACTAATCTGCACATTTTTTAAATCCTTAATCATGTATGCAGAGTCCATTTTGCTATATCATGTAACATTTACAGGTTCCCAGGATCCAGGAGTGGATATCTTTTGGAAAGTCATTACTCAGTTTACTACACCTGCCTCAAAATAAACTCAAAGCAATTAGCAAGGATGTACTAATCTCATCAAGCCTCCTTTGTTTTCAACTTTGAATTCCCACTTCAGTAAACAAAAGGTCTCCAACCTTATACCTCTTTCCACCTTACAACCTGCATATAACCAGGAAATCACTAACTATTCATTAAAGGCATTATGACAGGTGTGATGGTGCACACCTGTAATTCCAGCAACTCAGGACGCTGCAGCTAGAGGATTGTAAGTTGGAGGCCAGCCTTGGCAACTTAGAAAAATTTCGTCTCGAAATTAAAATAAAATAAAATAAAAATCTGGGATGTTGCTCAGTGGTAGAGCACCTGTGAGTTCAATCCCAGGTACTACCAAAAAAAAAAAAAAAAAAGGCATCACTAATTATTGTTAATGGTTCTCTTAAATGAGACAATCAGTGAAGATTAAAATTCCCAGCAGCTATGAAAGAGTAATACAGGACAGTGATTAAGGATCAAAGCTATGTGACCTTAGGCAGTCTCTTCATATGATAAACACAGATAATATAAAATTTGTAAGTCATGGACTTGGACTGAGCACCTGCACTGAGCCTGACAGACCAAACCAATATCATTTAGTCACAGTAACTTGAGTTTGGCAAGCTGAAGAAGGCCAGCCAGCCAGTTAACTAATTAGGCTATAACCAACTGTTAAGCTTTAACCAAATGACCACTTTGATTGACTAAGCTGTCATCAATTAAATTGTTTTCTATGACCTCACTATTTTCCTATAAATTCTGTCTGATCACAACGTTGGAGTTCTCGGAACTGCCTCTAGTTCTAGGAACTGTCCAATTTGCAAATCATTCTTATTTTGCTTTGCTCAAAATAAAAAGGCAGGCAAACCAAAACAGCTACTTAGGAGGCATCCTTAAAATTGGTATATTAGCCTTAGGCCAGAAATTCAGGTAAAGCTGAGCATAGACCTCCAGCCCTTCTTAAGAATCCCAGTGCTGGGGCTGGGGCTGGGGTTGTGGCTCAGCGGTAGAGCGCTTGCCTGGCATGCGCGAGGCCCCGGGTTCGATCCTCAACACCCACATAAAAATAAATAAACAAACAAAATAAAGGTATTGTGAAATAAAGGTATTGTGTCTAACCAAAAAATAAATATTTAAAAAAAAAAAAAGGATCCCAGTTCAAAAAAGTGATCCAAAATTGTCAGTCTGATCAGGTTCCTGGTAGAAACATTCTAAATATTTCCATAGAAAAGCAATCCCAGGGGCCTAGGTTCAGTGGTACAGCACTCACTACAAGTATAAGGTCCTAGATTTGGTTCCCCAAAAAGCAAGCCATTAAGAAAGAAAATTGTCTTGTTTAAGCCTCCTGGAATCCTACAGGTTAAGATAAAGCAATGAAATGAACTTACAAAGATCAACAGGAGCTAGCCACCATGAGGCCAAGCCAAAGACTGCACATACCAGAACAATTATATAAAGACTAGTAACAGACAAGTAAAATGTATTTAAGGGGAGGGGGGGTCTAAAAAAAGGGGACCACTCAGGCAGAATTGAAAAGGAAGCACATACAACTTATCAAAATTTTTTTTTAAATGCTAAAATAAATCAAGAACAAGTTAAATAGCAGATCTAATGTGGTGATCACAACTGATGATGGAATTTCAAAGATCACATGAGTACAAATTACTTCTAAATATGAAATCACAATTCAAATCAAATCCCATCCACACAGTATTTTAGATATGTTTATTCATTTTAGAGCAAAAAAGTTAAGGTGCAGGACAGGCTGAATAAGTTGTCTGCAGGGCATGCCAAACAAAGTTAGCTGCAGGGTTACCTGGCCACTCAAACCCTAGGTCTGGTTCTTTATCACCTGTATGCTTCAAGCCCAAAGGCCTAAGCCCCCACTCAAGGCTGAATGCTTCACCCCCCTGCTCAAGGCTGAACACTCAACCTGCCCCTCAAGGATGAACACTTAACCCCCTTGTGTGCCAACAAGGCAGCTTGCAGACCCAGAGACCCCATTAGATTTGGACTATAAAAACTCCCTCCTCCGGGCCTCTCTCTCTCTCTTGCTCTTGCTCTGTCTCTCTTTCTCTTGCTCTGTCTCTCTTGCTCTTGCTCCGTCTCTCTTGCTCTTGCTCTGTCTCTCTTGTTCTTGCTGTCTCTCTTGCACACGCGCTCTCTCTTTCTCTCTCTCTTTCTCTCTTTTCTCCTCTGTTGCACTGCTGCAATAAAGATCTCTTGGTCACTCCGAGTGTTGTGGTCACTTTCCTTTCATATTAGATTTTAGATGTCATTCCATCACGCTTTTAACAAATGGTGTGATGCAAAAGGCAATATGGCACACCTAAGCAATGAAAAACACAGAAACTAGAACCCAAATCACAGGATATAGACTTTGATGACACTAAACATAAATATTGATTTGGGTTCTGTTTTCACAACCTCCTTGCTGGGAATTAGGGAAAATAATAACTCCCATGTTCCATATGAGCCACTGGAGTCAAGACAAAACAGAACAATTTTTTTTTTTTTTTTTAAATCAGGGATTGAATTCAGGGGCCCTTAACCACTAAGTGACATCCCCATCCCTTTTTATCTTTCTGAGACAGGATCTCCCTAAATTGCTTGGGACCTTGCCAAATTGTTGAGGTTCACTTTGAACTTGGGATACTCCTGCCTCAGTCTCCCAAGCACTGAGATAGGCATGTGCCACCATGCCAAGCTAGAATGAAATTATTAACCCAGGAGTAGATTATAAAAGAAAGTCATGTTCCAGTGGATTTTTCTCATATTGGGCAGAATCTTTCATCGCCAAATTAACTCTCTCCTATTCTACAAATCTGTCAAGAAAACAATGATCAAGTACAGGCTTGGTCATTTTGATACTTAATTTAGTATAATTAATTCCTATTGTTCCTCATTTTCAGTATGCTGATGTATCTCATAGCCATGCTCAGTTGATTTTGGTTTGTAGGAATGGAGATTGAACCCAGGGCCATGCACGTGATGGGCAAGCATTCTTCCACTGAACTACATCCCCAACCCTTTTTATTTTGAGACATAGTCCTGCTAAATTGCCCAGGCTGGCCTAGAACTGGTGATCCTCCTTCTTCAGCCTCCATAGGAGCTAGGATTACAGGGCTGTGTCTAAGGGAAGGCTCAACTCTTGTTTATTTTTTTAAATATTTTTTAGTTGTTGATGGACCTTTATTTTATTTACTTATTTATATGTGGTGCTGAGAATCTAACCCAGTGCCCCACGCTCTACTGCTATGCCAGACTCTAGCCCCTCAACTATTATTTTTAATGATTTTTTTTCTATATTTAACTAAATGTCATATTTAGCAACTGGTTCACAAGCCACTATTCCCTTAATTTGTGAATCATAAGGCAAATTACTCAAGTTTTACTTGTCTACAAAACGCGAATGCTGTGCTATCTATCACTATATTAAAAAATATTTTCCTTACTCTTAAGTCAATGAAGAGGTTAATATTACATTTCAATTTGGTTGGGCCCGACCCACATCTATCAAGCTTCTAGGAGTTACTTACACACACACACAACCAAATGAATCGCTAGTCTTTCACTAGCTAAGACAAAACTTTCAAGGTGCTAATCATGACAGTTCCCTTGAGTGTTGAAGTGAGTAAGTAAAGCAAATCAGAACAGCAAGTTTCAAATACTTAGACTTCTTTCCAAACTAAACATTCTTTAGCAGTGACTACATGGCCCGCCAAGTTTTAAAATGGGCTGTTTCAACTTGGAAAAATGCATCTACCTTAAAAAACTCTTATTGAATTAAAAATTAAGCAGAAAAATAAATACTATCACCTAAAAGTTCACTTTCTGTCTTATACCCTCTTACTCTAAGGAAAAGAGAGAAGTTCTATTTTTTAAAAAATGCAATGTTCACGTAGATGACGTCAACACATACATATTTGAACTGCTTTACAGGTCGGCCTTAAGAAATGTGGGCCAGCACAACAATCAGTGCATTTGTACAATTATCCTAATAGAATTGGACCTATCGTGGTCGATCTATGAAGATCAGCAGCTCTAGATATTTAGAACAAAATTTAGTCCCCAGTCCCGGTGTGCCCAACCTGGCTGTCAGGCACGTCTAAATTTAATGGGCTTGAAGGATGCGAGGACCGGTTCACAGCACCTGAGTGAGGCGACAGCAGCCGCATCCCAGCAGTAGGCGATACTTACAAATTTGGGGCGTTTTTCCCCAGGCTCCTCTGGCCCGCGAGGCAACGGAGGGTGTTGGGGGCCCTTCTTGCGCTGAATCTTGCTCTCCCGGCAGCTGCGGAGCAAGGCGGAGGAGGGATAGGGGGCCCCGGCGGCGGAGCCATAGGCTGGGTGGTGCAGCCGCGGCCGGTGCCGCTCCATCTTTCCCCACAGCACCCGGACCAAGAGAAGGCAATCCTTCACCAAGCACAGTCGGGGCTCAGGGATCAGGGTGGGTTCGCCTTCCTGGTTCCGCCGCCCACGCCTTTGACCCAGCCCAGCCCAACCGCTACAGCACAGGCCCGGGACAACACATCCGAAATCTCCCGCCACCTAGGGTCCGCCTTAGATTCGCCAATCCCGCGCCGCGGGTTCAATTACACGTCAGAACCCCGCCCCTTCCGGGACTGTCATAAGGTGATTGGCTGTTCTGCCTGTCTATTCCGCTACTCTACTCCTCCAGCGGTCCTCGCTATGCAACTTAAAGGCACAGGAGGAGTTCGGATTTGTAGACCCAGGCAGAACCAATGAGAAAGTCACTTTCCTCTTTTGGGAATTTGGAGAAACCGCTTCTCGCCAAACTGGAAGGCGATCGAGACTGACTGTGTGCCTTTGGAACACTGATGGAATGCAAATTTATTTACTAGCCTCTTACATGTCTCCGGAGGCTTCCGTAGGATGGCCACAGAAAAGTGCTCGACACTCTGGGAAGGAATGTATGCTGGACACACTTAGCACCCGCACAGTGCCTAAATGATGCCTGTGGGCTCTGGGTTAGGAGAGGGCTCCACCAAAAATTAGCCTGACTGGACACATACCTTTACACAAATAACGGTTATAATAGTTCTCTAATTTATTGAGAACACAGAGGAGAGAGAAATTTTGTCCCACCGTCCCAGACGTGGGACACTATAAAAACCTAAATAGAGTATATAGTATGTAATATATAATTATATAAAATGTAATATAATGTGTAATAATTATAACCATGTAAGTATGTTAAAATAAATATAATATTGGTTAATAATAGTATGATAATATATGAGCTCTGGATGATGAGTTCCAACCTATTTTAATGCACCTGTATCAGTTTCGTTGAAATATTCACAAAACTGAATACTTAGGACTTTAATAGGTTAAACCTGAAGATCTACTCCAGATCTGGGAGGGATGCATAGGTTTTCACCAGGCAGAAAACAGTGGTGGGGCATTCAGTTAAAAGGCATTTCAGGGAGGTGGAAGGCCAAGAGTGGTCAAAAGCATGAAGTTGAAGCAAATTTGTCAGCATATAATAAAGGCCCTTGAACTGAAACTATGCAGAAGATTTTGTGTATTATGACAGTGAAGATAGGAAGTTAGCACAGTTTTCTCATGTATTAGTGTACTTTTTCCTTCCTTTAAAAGCCATCTTTTCCTTTGAACTATTTCCTTATAATATCCATCTTCTGACTATATGAAAGTGGTATGGACCAGTAAACATGTATTACTAATTTTGGCACAAGAAACAATTCCAGGTACTCAAGAGAGATTAGCGTAGAGGTTCAGAAAAACAGGCCTTGGTTCCAAATAAGTCTTCACAGATTTTTTGTTTCAGGATTTTTGTTTGGTTAATTTGGGGCATTTTTTTTTTTTTATGTTTGTTTTTACTCTGTCAAACTCTCTGTAGCCAACTCTGTCCTCAAAGTTCACTTAATCTTTAGGGAGACTTTCAAGAGATCAGCAAGATGGTTTGAATTAGAAGTAGTTCTTTTTGTTTTGATGACAGACCAAGAAGCAAGTTTTATTCTAGACATTTACTACCTATGTGATGTTGGAAATAATGTTTGACTTTCTTTCATTCTCCATCTATATAAGGGAGATAATAATGGTCATACTTCCCAAAAAGTGGTGCTCTCAGATTTAAATTAGATAGCATATATAAAGTTCTTAGAGCTTTAGTATCCTCCAGCCAAAGACTAGCAGGAGAAATAACTGAAGTTGGAAAAGTTTGGGCTTATTACAGAGAGCAAGAACATGCACTATGAAAAACTATGATTTTTCTCAGAGGGTGCTAGAAAGCACTAATAGGATTTGTGCTTTGATTAGGTGATTTGGGGAAGACTCCAAAGAATAAAGTAGGGAGGATTGCTCTGCATTAAGTGCCATCAGGAAGTGGGAACAGTTCAATGAGTGGGTATCTTAAATCTTATCTAGCACCATGTCAGAGGGGTTTCAAGATGGTGGGATAGAGAAGGTCGCTTTCCTGACTGCCCCATGGCGTTAAACCAAGAAAGCAGACAGTGGGCTTCCCAACAAGGTGGGTAAACCAAAAAAAAAAGGTGGGTACTTGACTGGAATTTAATACTGGACACTCAAAGCACTATGTCAGGCTAAAGAACAAGGCTAACGCTATTACAACCAAAGCAATTATTCCTATCAAGGAGAGGGGCTATTTGGTGTCAAAAGACAAAATAACAATAAATTTAGTTTAAAGATCTTATTGGCCTATTTTTACAATTCTAGAATAAGAATTCTATCCATTAAAATGAGTGTTCCAATAAACTGAGCAAAGAATTTTGTCTGTTTTGGAAGAAAGCAAAAAGGAAGAACAAAAAGCTAACTGGTCATTTCCACATTCTTTATAGGGCAAAAATGGGGGAAACTTTCTTAGCATGCCATCTCAGGTAAACTGGTTCCTTCTCATTAGTTGCTGTGAATCTCTTAATTTTTATTCGAGACCTAGCCCATTTCAGAATTTGGTTTGAATACCCCAGTTTTGGTCTGTTCTGCTGGAGTCAACTATAGGAGCTTACTTCAAAACTAAGCTTAATCATAATGGCTTCTATGACTTTATTAAATATTAATATTTTATTATGTGCACACAGAACATTCTTTGTCTCAGCTTAGAAAAAATAGGGGAAGTGTTCTTGTTTTGTCTCATTTCATCATGATGATTTGTCTGACATTGGTGTTCTGCAAGATGTTGTCCATCAGGAAAACAACATGACCTAGGTCTGAGTTTCAAGCCTGCCTTTAAAAACACTGAGACAAGCTGTAAGTGTCAAACTAGTTCCCTAATGTCAAAGATGATGCTTTCCATTTCTGGTATCTTTGGCACATAAAAGGCACTAAATATAAATAAACAGAGCTAATAATTGATATTCACGTTTACATACAAATCATACAAGTCTATGATTTTTTTCATAGAAAGTCCTTGCAACCTCAGTGAACCAGTGAAAATAATATTTTTTGTATGTTTTACATTTTGAAAGCATATTTCACATGTTATTTAAAGCTCACAACAGTATGCACTACCTTTCATTGTGATCACCAAACAACAAGGACATGATTCACTCCATTGAATTAACAATTTGGAAGCTATACTTGTATAGACATAGTTGCACTGAGATAAAATTGAAGGAAATGAAAGGCAGGCCTGGAAAAATTTGGTATCCAGGAATTCTCTTCTTTATCATGTCTATTCAGTCTCAGCATCCATTCACTATAAATCACCATGGGAGAAAGTCCTGAAAAGTTGAGAAAAGGAATGCAGCATCCCTAATCAACTGGGGGAAAAAATAAGCTACCATTTTACCTTCACTCAGTTGACAAATATTACAAAGTCCCATGTCATCCAGGTTCGGTCAAACTGTGAGAATACATGAATTCCTACATAGACAGTAGAAATGCAAAAATGATTCAGTTACTTTAGACAACAAATAACTTGGCAATACTAATAAAGGTAAAGGAACCTATACTTATGACCCAGCAATTCTAGATGATTCCCTGGAGAAACCCAAAGATACACTCAAAAGAATTTCTTTATGCCTGGTACAGTTAGCACATGTCTGGAATCCCAGTTACTTGGGATGCTGAGGCAGGAGGATTGCAAGTAGACAGAGGGTTGGGAATGTAAAGCAATGGTCAAGCACTCTTTGGTTTAATACCCACTACAAATATATATATATATATATATATATATATATATATATACACACACACACACACACACACACACACACACACACATACATACATACATATATATCTGCCCTGTAGTCAAAGCAAGAATAAAATACATGGAGGTTAATAATACAATAAAATCCAACAATACATTTAAAATTACAAGTGTATAAATAACACATAATTTCTGCAAGATGTTGTCCATCAGGAAAACAACATGACATGGATAAATCTAAGCTGGGCCTTGTGGCACACAGCCTGGAGGCTGAGGCAGGAGGACTGTGAGTTCAAAGCCAGCTTCAGCAGCTCAGAGAGATCCTGTTTCTAATAAAATAGAAAAAAGTGGATGTGGCTCAGTGGTTAAGCGCCCCTGGGTTCGATTCCAAGTACAATCAATCAATAAATACACAAGTAATTCATAAATAAATCTCAAAAAATAAAAAGAAAAATATAAACAGTATGATCAAACAAAATATAAACAGTATGATCAAACATTACAAAATATAAACAGTATGATCAAACATTACATATGTATACTATGTATATTCATATGTATATACATATATATAATACATATGCATGTATGTATACATGTAATAACATTGAAAAAAGACAAGGGAAATATACACAACATCTTCACCTACTTGCACTGTGGAAAGGAAAAAGGGGAAAAAATTAAAGCTGAAATTTTATAGCTAAAATACATGTCATGTTTTATTTATTGAAAGAAAAAATATGAAGTAAAAGTCTAGTAAAATGTTAAAGCATATTTAATCTCAGAGGTGAGTAAATTGGTGTGTATTTTATTACATTCTGTAATATTCTGTTTGTTGGAAACATTTTATATTAAGTTTCCAATGAAATATACAGACTAACAGTAAAATAGCAATGTCAGAGACAGCTCCCTTAACTCTTGCGTCTCCTCCACAAATTTTTGGTTTATTAGCATGGACTCAGAGTCCATATGTGGAGATATGAAATTATTTCCTTTTAGGATAACCTTAAGTTTTATTTTGTTTTAAATTCAAGTAACAAAATCAACTCTTTCCTCTTCCTTTCCTTTCCACTTTCTTTTATCCTATTCTCACAGCCCTTTCTTTTCTCTGTCTTACAATAGTATGAAGAAAGAGCACCAACAATAAAAGTCACTTCATTCCTCTTCTACTTTCACTTTAACTGAAAATTCAGTTCTTTGTCATGCATGCTTTCTAAAAAGTGGATTAAAACAAAACCCATTTAATTACAAATCTAGTTTATAGCTTAATTGATTTAACTTCACCACATTTATCATTATTTTGCCACAGTGGAAATATACCTCACTACACACAAATCCTATGCCAT